TAATTTTTTTATAATATATGTACTACCTTTAATGACTTCTATTGCCTATTGGTCGTTAGTACTTCGTACTGCACACTTCCAAAGGCTCGCCGCGCAGTACTGATAGCTGTGGTCGGCAAAGCGACAAAGTACAAATCGACGGGTAAATCAGGTTTCTTGGCCCGGCCCGGCCCGAGTTGGTTGGAGAAGGTCGAGCGTAACCGAAGAAAAACAATTTGAAAGGGCCCAGTTGGGTCGATCTCTGGCCCGAAAATGGCCCGTTTTCTAGGCCCGTCCGCCCAGGCTTTACAGATATCGAATCGCTTACCACCTAATTTCTGCTCTCTTTCCCTCCCTATTTAAACGCGCAGGTTCAGGCTCCGAACTGCAGAGAGCTTCGAGGCTTCGACATGGCTGAGGTAATCTATTTCTCCCCTCTTTCTCGTCTTAGGGTTTATGAATTCCTCATCAGTGAATGTGTTGTTCTGCTTTTAGATTTCAAGTTTGCTAAGTTGAATAACATCTCCCATATTTTCGCTCCGTTTAGTTCTAATCTATTGGGCGAAAAGATTCATCGATATCTTGTATTTTATTTTTCTAGTAAATATTGTTTTAGCATCTCCAGATTTTCGATGTTTGTAACTATTTTGTGATTTTTGGATATCTGACAGTATATTTTTATTCTTTATATTCCTTGCATTAATCTATTCTTTTCATTGGAGAAAAGGATTAACGGGAAGAGATGAAGAAATATAGGGATGTATTTTTGTTTAATTTGTGCGAAACATTCCGTGGTGGTTTTTTTGAATGCTTATTGTTCTTGTTGTATTATTGAGCATTAGTGGTGTTGTGTCATAGAGTATTCGCGGCGGTAGAGAAATATATAGATTAACGTCTTAGCATTGTACAAAGATTCAGCACACCAGCAGATTAGATAGAGTGTGTAGCGTTCATAAGAGGCAACAGAGTTTTTACGTGGAAACCCCTAAAAAGGGGGAAAAATCACGGGGTCTTGCCCTGTTTGAATGAATCCACTAGTATTTGCAGTCGATTACAAATGAGGCTCTTCCTTGGGAGAAGGCCTTGGCTTGATATCACAAATGTACGTCATAAAGAACGCATTACATGGTGATAGTTACAATAATCAACATAGACATGTTTGTTTAGTTGGAAGGGTCATAGTCGGCACGAGACAGGGGTCCAAAAGACCGTACTTGGCAGAAGACCGGGGTCAGAAAAATCGTTGTCTGGTGATGGAGATCGGAAGGACCATAGTAGGTGATGGAGGTCAGAAGAACTGTAGACGGCAGGAGACAGGGGTCCGAAAGACCGTAATTGGTAGGAGACCGGTGTTAGAAAGATCGTTGTCTGGTGATGGAGGTCAGAAGAACCATCGTAGACGAAGGATGTTGGAAGGACCGTAGTATGCAAGAGATCGATATCAGAAAGACCGTTGTCTAGCGATATAGGTCGGAAGGACCGTAATAGGCGACGGAGGCTGGAATGACTATAGTCGGCAGGAGACAGGGGTCCAAAAGACCGGAGTTGGCCGGAGATTGGGGTTAGAAAGATCGTTGTAGTAGGTCGGTACTCTGGTAGAACTCTAGGAATCAGGTGGTGGCCCGATAGAAGTTCGAGCCTCAGGTGATGGTCCGGCAGAAGTCTGAGCCTCAAGTGGTGGTCTGGCGGAAGTCTGAGCATCAGGTGGTGGTCCGGCAGAAGTTCGGGCCTCAGGTGGTGGTCCGGCAGAAGTCCGAGCCTCAGGTTGTGGTCCGGCAGAAGTCTGGGCCTTAGGTGGTGGTCCGGGGGAGCAACGATGTCAGGCGGTGGTCCGACGGAGGAGAGGGCCTCAAGTAGTGGTCCGACGGAGAAGAGGGCCTCAAGTGGTGGTCCGGCGGAGGTGAGGGTCTCCAGTGGTGGTCCAGCGGAGGTGAGGACCTCAAATGGTGGTCCGGCGGAGCAACGACGTCAGGCGGTGGTCCGACGGAACTCAGGTGGTGGTCGAGGAGGAGCTTATTTCTTCTCTTCTCTTCTCTTTTTCTCTTCTTTCTTGGATCCCCCCTCCTTTCAAGAGGGAGGATGGGTTTTTTTATAGATTTTTGGAGTGGTATGGCCCGTAAATAGAAGGATCAAGGGCAAATGGGAGATGGTCGATGTTGAACCCTTGCTCGTAGACTGTTTGATGGACATTTGAATGTCTTAATGATGTCGGAATTCAATGATTTTGGGCTCGTTGGATTCGTCTCGTCGAGCAGCTCGATTCGACTATAAGAACGTCGTGTTTGGAAACCGTTTGACAATCCAAATTGTGGTTCGAACCCTCCAACAGCGCTTCGGATCCTTGATTTGGACCCATTTGGGCGCAGATTGAGTCGAATTTGGTGTCGTTGGGTTCGTATTTCTGAGATGCTCACTTCGACTGTAAGTTTGCTGAAATCGGAGTTCGAATGGTCCCAATTTTAATTTCAGAAGTTTCCAATTTGATTTTGCATCGAGATTCGTGCCCGACCAAGATAATTTTTTTATGATGTATCAAGTGGAATGATGAATTGAAGGATTGCTTGTTGGGCATGGTTTGGGTTTGTATTCATAACAACATCTTCAATTATGAAAATGGAAGTATGATTTCAGGGAATGGAATGATGCACCAAGTCTTTTTGGAATTTTGTGACATTTAAATGAAAATTGTATTTGTTTAGTAATAAGGTTTGGCGTTATGGAATCGGAATGAGACTTGATTACAGATTATAGTCTGTATATTTGAAGTTGTATTTAATAGTTTTTTGCTGAACTTTAGTCTTAGGGCTGCATGATATGCTTTAAAGAGTGAATCCCTTTTTCTCTTTGTATTTTATTTTAATTCCATCGGTATCCTTTGCTTATATTTCTGATTTATTCTTCTTCTTAGTTCTTACTTATGAGTCTAGCAATTTTCTAAAGTGTCCCTTTAGTCCTTCAATGCCTCTTGCTGTTTGTTTTTTATTTAACATAAACTCATTAATTCAACCGTTAAGACATTGAGCATCTTCTAAATCACAGATAAAACAGAGTACCTCTAATGAGGCCTATATCGAAAATGTGATACTTTATTTTACCCCCCCAAAAAAAAAAGAAATCTGATTGATTGCAAACTTGATTTCATTTAATTGTTGAATATACCTGTTGTAGCATAGGAGTTACAAGAATGATAACTGCGGGTCAGCCAACAATTAAATTTATGAGAATGGATTTAAGTATCGATTTAGTTTACATCATGAATTTGTCACATTATTGACCTGATAAGCATTTTAATCTTATGCATACAGCTTTTGTTTGGGTTTTTTCATTGCATGAATCAATTTTCATGCCCAAATGCTTTATTCTTTCAAATTTTCCATTACCTATTTTGTGTGCTAGATAGATACAACTCAGATGATGGGCTAGTTGAGTAATGTATGTTTGTAATTACTCTGGGTCTTACATTGCACAAAAATAGCAACCATGTGAGCTCAAACCAACCGGAGATTTTTGGCTCAGATAGAATCCACCGACCCTTAATTCATTTGTTTGGCCACAAGGTAGTTCAAACTCGTTAGATTAGCGAAGGTGGTTTCGTTGTGATTATCAAGCCCTGGACTTTTAAAAAAGTTTCAACTAGCCAAAGGTGATTTCGATGCAAATCCCTTACTTTTTCACATCTTAGCTCATTCTTTTAATTAATTTTGGCTGATTTTGATTCTGATTCTGCGAACATTTTTCAGAATTACTAAAAATGTTCACTTGACTTTTGATATATACTATACATGATAATGGTACATGCCACATCATCGTTGTAAGGCATGTCTAATAAGAATTCCACTAATCAGTCTCTAAACTTGAATCAATGAATTTGATTGAATTGAGCCATAACATTTTAGCTTGATCCACCAAAATAGAGAGGGAACCAATGATAGTGTGAATTATTAGTATGAGCCATAAGGGATAATCTTAGAACTTTTATTGAGTGGGGCACAATGATAAAATTGAACTTTTTTATCTCAAACTCTATTTTAAATTATACAAGTTGCAAGCATGTTAAATATCACTGATGAGTCAAAAGTTCCGTTTCTCTCTAAGTATGTGACACCTATATGTTTATAATTTTTCCCTTCACACTATTTATTTTTCATATTTCTTTTGTTTATTTGTTATAGTAAATATCTTGATCCTAAGTCTTAAAACAAAAGAGATTGAGAGACGAGCCATGTTACCTAATAGAAAAACTTAGTGAGTCAAATTCAAGCCAATTGGGATAGATCCTCCTGGTGTCCTAGCTCTAGATTCACCCATGAGAAGTATGGCAACTGGCTTTTGCTAGCATATCTTTTTAATCAAAGAATGTAGCAATCACTAAGTTAGGGTCATTCAATGATTGTGGTACATGTCCTAATTGGAGGTTGCCTTAAGAATGTAGGGAAACGCTAGGTTTTCCTGCCACCCTTTTAGTAGTAGTAATTTGCATTGATTTTTACAAGGCTATGTGTTGATCAAGAGGTAGCAAGTTGTGGCTTGGAGGTGTAGTGATGACTAGCAGTGGCCTCCATTGAGAAAAAGGAAAAATAAACAAAGCTTTATTGATGAAAACCCATTTCAACAATCTTTTCAAATGTCTAGCCTAGCCTATATATAGAATTAGCTAGAGTTCTAATGCCATGGTACAAGGAACCTAACGAACCAGATCGAATATAAATATCAGGAAATCAATATTCGTAATACTCCGCCTCAAGATGGACTATATATATCTTTGATAAGCATCTTGGATAGAAGTGTAGATAGTGGAGCATATGCCAGTGGCTTGGTGAACATATTGGTGAGCTAGAGGTTGGAGCTAATAGGAATGAGTTTGATAAAAAAATTCAATGAATCTGTCTCAGATAAAATGAGCAATCTATCTCAATATACTTGGTGCACTCATGGAATGTTAGGTTTGAGGCAATGTGAATAGCAGATTAATTGTCATAGAAGATAAGTGTAGTAGTGGGTGGTTATATGTGAAGGCCATGTAGTAGTTGGGTGAGCCAGAGAAGTTTGTTGTCGATGGCTGCCAAGGTTCTATATTCTTCCTCAGCAGAAGATCTTGAGATAGTGTATTATTTATTTTCCCTTACAAGATATCAAATAACTCCTTAGCAAGATGTAGTAACTAGTTGTTATCGATCTCTGTATGCCAATACAGGAATCCCAATCTGCATAAAAACAAAAACGCTGCACTTGCAAAGAAGTAGAATTAGAGATTTTGCGACATCTTGAGGTAGCATAATAAGTGATTGACAGTTGTCACATGTGGGACCCAAGGTTGAGGCAAGAACTGACTGAGTTTGTGAGTGGCAAAGGTGGTGTATGGGCATGATAAAATGAGCTATAAAAGTCATCCTATAGTGCATTGATATTATGAAGCATCAGGTAAGAGATCGCTACAAATGCACGTAGTTTGTTCCTAGGATCCATAGGGATTTTGGTCAACTTGCTAGCTAGTAATTATGCATCTTCAATTTCTTATAATGCATAATATCATTGAAAAAGAACGATGCCCTTGTTGTATTGAACTATTTCAAGGACTAAAAAGTGCATACTCTTTTTGCATTATGTCTCTAAGAGTGAAGTCACTCATCCGCTTGAGCATCCTCATCCTGCAACACTTTACTTAATTTTATGCTTCTTTCTTAATGACTAACATTATGCACCATAAAACATTGCAGGTCTCATCAATCATCTTATAGAATTTTTCCTTAAGTTTGAAAGGTACCTTTCTGTCACACAATAGGCCTGATTCATTCCTCCACTTCAACCATCCAACTTGAATTCTACTCAAAAAATCCCCATCTATTTCACCATCACTTTGAATAATAGTCTCGATATATCTAAAATGTATACTCTTTTTAATGACTTGATCGACTAAGGTCACAATCCCCCCACTAGATCTATTACAACTAAAATTATACTCCATGTATTCGGTTTTAGATCTTCTCAAATGTAAACCTTTAGACTCTAAGGTTGACCTCCATAATTCAAGTTTTTCTTCAACTACCTCACTAGTCTTATGAACAAGAAGAACATCAATAGCAAGAAGTCTTGGTAGTACATGTACGTGCAAAACTCAATGTTCTCAACAGCGGTCATGTTTAAATGTTAAGTGAACACTTGCATCAGTACTTGATATTGCACGTCATTGAGTGATTGGAAAAAGTTATCATGTCCTTAAGTTTCAAAAGGAGCTGAGATTGTGGATTGATTAGTAGTGGCTATCTCAATTTTGGATCGATTGCTCCTTGCTTGGTTGAAAACAAGAGAGTAGCCTGCAATAGCCATTTGGTCGTGCATTACATTTGCTCTAGTCGAAGAAGTGTTATTGTCTTTGCGTTATCTTTGATCCGTAAAGGCACTACGATTCTTGAAGGTGAAACCCATCTCGCTTGTTTGGCTTCGATTAGATGTTTACTCACCGAAATTTTGGTGAGAATCTTTTAGTGACAGTAACAAGAACTTTTTTTTTTATTGACAAAATCAAATTAATAACCAATTTGGCTATGAACTAGGGAATAATTGTTGTTAAGCCCCACCGCATAGCCATCATGTATTCCATTTGACTATGTAGAGTGAATTGCTTGACTCCTCCACAGGTGCAATATCCGCACAAACACACAAGATAATAATTATTTAACTTGTCCCATAATATTTTACATTTTGTCAAACATGTGGTAACTGGGCTTTGATATTGCATGGATTTATCAACTTGCAGTGAAGATGAAAAATCTTATGTCCAATGTTATATTAAAATTGATCCCAAAAATCAACCCAAATTTATTGTGTTGTATCAGAGTAAGGAATGCTAGTAAAGATTTCTTTGAATATCGAATTCAGTATCTAAGAAATGATCACATTGTTGTTTCTGATCCAGGCTTTAACAATGTTAAGATCGGTTCCTTTCGATTCTTGAATGGATCCATTAATGAATTTGAGTTTGTTCTAAGCTGCCAAGGCTATGGCCATGGGGCGACCCAGGAAACATTATTGTCTCCAAAGAGAGGTTGTGAAACAAAGGTGATGTCAGGTCTGTGAATATGATGGGAGTAGTACGGGTTATGCAGGTCTTCAGGGTTCAAGATTTCGTCAGATGAATATTGTGGAGGTGCCATCGAAGAAAAAAACAGTTCTCAAGAAAAATAATTTGATAGAGAAGAGAGTAATTGCCCTAAGGACATCTCCAACAGAAAAACTCAATTTTCACTCCAAAATACAGTAATACATCAAAATGCAAAAACTCGTCTCCAATTGAACTCCATTTTCTAACATCCAAAAAAGAATATTCCTAGTATACTCCTTCTCATATTTTATTTTATATATTTTTAATCATATATGTATAGGCGTCGCACTGTTCACCAGCAAGCAAATAGCGAAAATTTTGGCATTCGACTGGAACGACCGAACGACGCCATGCACATGTTTGATGTTCGACTAGAGAAAGCCTAATACTAGATTATCTCAGCCGAAACCTAAGAGAGGAACGAAGATGATGGAAGAAGAGGAAGAGAGATGGTCCAAATGGGTTATTCTTGCTCTGATACCATATGAAGGGAAAAGAAACAAAGTTTTATTAATGAAAACACATTTCGGTACAATCTTTAGTAAAGTCTAGCCTAGCCTATAGGTACCTTGAACTTCCTGTATGCTTAATAACCTCAATCTAATATATTATATATAGAAAGAAATTTGTCTATATTGTTCAAACTAGCAAATCTCATTTGACATTCTCGATTGCACATTTTTTTGCAGACTGTTGTCCTCAAAGTTGGCATGTCCTGCCAAGGCTGTGTTGGTGCCGTGAAGAGGGTACTATCAAAGCTGGAAGGTTTTAACCCTAAAAACTTTTGTATTAGAAAATCTTGAAGTTTTCATTTTTAATGGCTTGTGATGTTGATTGCTACTTTTCAGGTGTTGAATCATTTGATGTTGATTTGAAGGAACAAAAAGTAACTGTGAAGGGCAATGTGAAACCTGAAGCAGTGCTGCAAACTGTTTCCAAGACTGGAAAAACAACTTCATTCTGGGAAGCAGAATCAGAAACCAAGGAAGCTGCTTTTGATACAGCAGCTGCTGCCACCGCATGATTACAGTACGTCTAAGTGGTTTTCTTAATAAGAAATTATGAACTAATGATCAATGATGATTTGTCTTTTGAAGCTTTTACAGTAAGTATAATTTTGTGTGTTGTTTGTGCTTTCTTCAGTCGACTGGTCATGTTTACCTATATGATGCTTTTAACTGTTTTAATAAGCTAGATGTCATATTATAAATGGCAATAAGATCACCTATGTATCAGTTTCACTTATTATTTTTCCTGTTAGCTACTATAAGATGATGATACCTTATAAGAGGCTAAGATTTCTTGATAGGTTATTATTGTCATTTTATCGCCAACTATCCCTCCATTATGGCTCCATTGATGGACCTCGATCTTACGATAAATGCTTCTTTGTGAGAATTCTAATACAGTGTTAGGTTTTGTTTGGCATAGCTTTCTTGCTGCTTTCTAAAACGGCTTTTTAGTATAAAAACTTTTAAGTTCATGAATTTTTTATACTCAAAAGCTATTTTAAAAAGCAGTAAGAAAGTTGTCCCAAATGAAGCGTTACTCTTACCAAACTTTCATGAGTATTTTGTAATGCCTCCAATTCTGGTATAGTGGCGATCTTGATACAGGGAGGACTTTTGATCTTTTCTTATCAACAAAAGATTGTGTCCTCAAACAGCTACAGTTCCTTTTAGAAAACTGCTTTATCACACAAATTAATCATAAATAGCTCACAATATCTATCTTCCCCAGTTATTCAAATGCCTACTCACCAAATATTCCATTGAAAATAGCTTTAGGGTATTGATTTTAAAATTGATTAGACAAACCAGGCAAACATAATGATGATGTCTACCATTTTATCTTGCATGTTTAATGGTAACGATAATGCTATTCCAACTAACTTAGTCAATAGCTCATTGTTTTCTTACATTTTTCGAGTTTTTTTATCAGCTTCTTCAAAGCATGGCGAGATCAAACTTTGTTTGTTGTAGAACTTATCAAAAGCTTGAACAACAATTACAACAATATGTCCTCTCCCCATCCACCTAAAAATTGCGATAAAAGTTATTGTATTACCATTGTTGCATTTGTGCCATTAGTTTGTCCAGCCAAATGAAGGAACTATTGTTGGAGTTTCACTCAGAAATTGTAGGCCATGAGTGACCAAAACACTTATATGCCTTTTTTTTTAAATTTTATTGGTAACATATGCCAAAGGATATGGTCGCAATGCAGTGTCTCAAAAAATTAAAAACACTACATGTGAAATCCTTTAAGTAAAAGAAAACTAACTCTTAAACATCGAGTCACCTTTTGGTGTAATGGTTGAAATTTTCGTAAGAAACTCCGCAGTTAAGCGTGCTCGACCTACTGGGAAGTTACACAAATATGATAAAATCGTGAGACTGTTAGGCCAAAACAGACAATATCTCGATAGTTTAGAGTTTGGGCTGTTACAAATGATATCATAGCAATACATTAGCCGAAAGATGAGAATTAAGTATCATACAAGACAAAGTGCTATGCCATGGGAGCCACCTCTTGAACCCTGTATGGGACAAAGTGCTACATGACGGAAGCCACCACTTGAACTTGTAGGGGTCACCTCTAGAATCATATATATATGCATGGTGGATGATTTTGAGATAAAGATGCTGACGAGAACGTCAATTACTTAAGTGTTGGAGATTGTAAAACCCCTGCCTGGTGGGTCATTTCACCTTAGGGTTGTTTAGTCCACTTACATGTAAGTTTGAGCTTTTGACCTAAGGGCCGCATTCAACCAATCTTTCATATTTTTTTTCTTCTCAAGTCCTCTAGAGGAGACATTGACAACAAATGTGAGGCACAACCTCCTCTAAGCTTCAACAATCATATTCTACATCTATCCCAATTTGTCTTAAAGCAACATCAGGCCTTTGTTCCACTACATGAGATTGGTTACACGAATCATTTTTTCCCATTCTGTCTTATTAAGAGTCAGATTCTTTTTTAAATCTAACAAGAAAAGACCACTTCTAATATTTTCTAACCAAAACTTTTTAGACCTGCCTCAACCTTGTATGTAGCACATACGAGCCAGCTGAGGATCAAAATTTAAAAAGAAGGTAAGAGAATTTTGTATGTAGCTGAGGGCATCTCCAACGGAGAACTCCATTTTTCAAGGCAAAATACAGCAAAACTCCAAAATGCTGTGGTGCTGCTCCAATCGAACTGCATTTTAAGTACTTCTGCGAAGGTAACGATCCTTCTCCCTTTCGCGCGTTTTTCCGGTTGAGAGAGGAAAATAGCGTAGGTGAATAGTGCAACGCAAATATTAGCGTCGCACCATTCACCCGCAAGTAAATGGCGAAAGATTTGGCGCTCGGCTCGAGCCACGTTTGACGTTCGGTTGGAGATGCTCTGATACATAGCGATACAATTATTTTTCCACTAAGCTTAATGCAAATTCATTGATAACAGAAACGAATACAGCAACAAAGTTGAAAAAAAAAAAAAAAAAACTCTGTCAAAGCTGATAAAAAAGCCTTCTTCAAAACATGATCCAAACATATTTTGTAGCATTGCAGAATCTGATCCTGATTCCACTTTGTATTGTGAATGATGAGCTGCAGTTTGCTTTCAAGTCGGAAAGCACTCAGTGTTGAACATTCCCACATATGATAATAGAGAGAAATTATAAAGAGATTCCAAAGAAAAAGCACTTATTTATTAAATTATTGTGCTGAAGTTAATGATGATATTGATTTAGTAACTTTAATTAATCTACTTTCGCATCACTAAAAATTTTAAAATATGGGTATTTTGAGAGGAAAAGAAAGATATATGTGAAAGTGACCAAACTATTAAGGATCCAAATTAGCCGTTAACCCACCATGGGCTCTTCAGAACAAAGCCTTCACGCAGATAGCCCATCTATCCAGCTTTTAAGCCTTAAAACCAAAAAAAAAAGTGTTAGACTATTTTAATATAAATTATTTTAGATTTATTTTTAGAAGTATTAAATTTATTTTTTTAATTAATATAATTTAATTTCTTATACATCATCAAAAATTTATCCTGGTTGTGGCACGAATCTCGTGGAAAAATCAAGTTCGAAACTTCTGAAATTAAAATTGGGACCATTTGAACTCCGTTTTTGGCAAACTTAAAATTGATTTGAACATCTCAAAAATACAAACCCAACGACACCGAATTCGACTCAATCCAAGCCCAAATGGGACTAAATCAAGGGCCAAAAGCGCTGTTGGAAGGTTCTAATCACAATTTGGATTACCAAACGGTTTCCAAATGTGACATGCTTATAGTCGAATCTAACGGATTGATGAGATGAATCTAATGAGTCTAAGATCACTGAATTCCGATATCACTAAGACATTTAAATACCTAGCAAACGGTCCACGATCAAGGGATTCAACATCGACCGTCCATCCAAACAACTCATCATTTACCATTGATCTTCCTACTATTTACGAGTCATGTCACTCTAGGAAATCTATAAATAGAACTCCTTCCTCTTGAAAAGGGGCCCCAAGCAAGAGAGCAAGAGAGAGATCGGAGATCGCTCTTGCCTCCTTGCTCCTCCATGACCACCGCACGAAGTTCCGTCAGATCACCACCTGATACCGGAGTTCCACCGGGCCACCACCTAACGCCCGGAGTTCCGTCAGACCACCACCTGATGCCAGTGTTCTGTCGGACCATCACTTGATGCCCGGAGTTCCACCGGACCACCACAAGGTGCCCGGAGTTCCACTGAACCACCGCCTGACGTCGGAGTTCCACCGGACCACCACATGACATCGGAGTTCCACCGGGCCACAACCTGACGCCAGGAGTTCTGCCGGCCACCACCTAACACCAATGTTCCGCCTTACTATCACCTGACTCCAGGAGTTCCACCGGACCACCACCAAATGCTGGAGTTCCACCAGGCCGCCACCTAACGCCAATGTTCTTCCAATTTCTACCATGTAATACATTCTATGTGATGTATCTATATTATATCAAGCCAAGGCCTTCCCTCCAATGAAAGGCCTCATTTGTTATATATATTATTTTGGGACATTTGCATTCTTAAAAATCAAATTTTGACAATGGATACAATTACAACCCAAGTGTGTATTTTTAAATTACCACATAAATACCATAATAAAGGTTTCATTTAAAACGATTGTATTGCTGCTTTTTAAAATAATTTTTTTATTAAAAAAAATTAAATTTTATAATAAAAATTTACTTTAAAAAACAGCAATAAAATTATCCCAAATAAAGCCAAAATCTCAACTTCTTGTATGTCTATTTTGCAAAAAAATTAATAATTTAACTATGCCACACATAAACATATAACTTTAATAATTCAAAAAAAAAATGATATAAATATCAATAACATTAAAAAAAAAAAAAAAAAAAAAATCCCTCTACATAAGAAAATCCATATCCCATATATGCTCTCTCCATCATCCACCTTCAAAGCTAAAACAGCCCCAACCATCCAACCAACCAACAGTGTACAAAACAGTACAGCCAACAGTGAAGACAGAAACACGTCTCCTTAGTCTCATCTGTATATATATATATATCTTCTTAAATCCACTTCACTACAAAAGTACAAATCACCGTTAATCGCCTTCCAACACTGTGGATCATTACCAGTCCTTCATGCATCTACTCTCTGCCCGAATCTCATCTTTATGTACGCAGGGGGCCCTTAATTTACACTTTAATTATCTCACATAATCTAACTCTAATCCTATAATCCTGTTTATAAAGAACTCACAAACTCGCTATCAAAATTGGATCTTCATATAATTTACATCAAAATAGGGAGTAATTAATGTTAGGATGTCTGAATAAAAAAGTGATCGAGAAAAAGTTTAAATTTTTTAATCTGTTCTGTAATATATAAATGAATTATTATATTACAGCAGATTCCAAAATTTAAAAGATCAGAAAATTTATTCAGAATATACTAACTCAATTATTATTATTTTTTTCAAATGAGCTTGAAAATAATTATATTTATTTAAATTTAATACCTTTTAAGCTCATAGATGATATTCTGCTGCGCGTGCCTGCGCTTTGCGCTTTTCCCCTTGATCCGGTGCGGAAAGCCTGCAACGCGATCTCCCCAACCGACGGCAATGGGCGAACAGGACAAGCTAGAAGTACTCCACTGGTGTCCCGGGGGAGCTGTCGTCGGAGAGATCGCGGCAGGTGGCCGAGAATGGCGGGGGGACGTGCGGTGGGGCCGCGCAGCGGAGCAGCGCCCAGTTCACGCCGCTGAAGAACGGGTGCCGCTTGATTGCGGTGGCTCCCAGAGTGGATCCCAGGCGGTTCGCCGGATCCTTGACAAGGAGCCCGGCGATGAGGTCCCGCGCAGGGGCCGACAAGATTGTTTCTTTAGGAAACTCGAGCGCGCGGGCCACGATGTTCGCGAGGGTCAGCTCGTTGTCGGAACCTTTGAACGGGGTTGCGCCGTACAATAACTCGAAGATTAGAACTCCCAGCGTCCACCAGTCCACCGAGCTGCCGTGCCCTTCGCCGGATACAATCTCCGGGGCGAGGTACTCGTGCGTGCCGACGAACGACATTGAACGGAGGTCAATGGGCTCGGCTACGAAGACCAGCCCGCCGGCAGGACCGCCGCGTCGGTTGGTTTTTTTGACGCGGCTGCGGGTCGGCTGGAAACAGGACACGCCGGGGACGATGCAGTTGGGTAGGATGCAGTTGGTGTTGGCGGCGGTGGAGGCGGTGGAGGCGGTGGTGGCGGCGCGGTCTTTGGGGTGGGGGCTGGAGGAGGGGAGGGTGGGTTGGTGGCTGCGGATGAGTTGCGCGGCCGGGGAGCAGCCTAAGTCTGCCTTGAGCGACAGGTCGAAGTCGGTGAGCATGATGTGGCCGTCGGCTCTGACGAGGACGTTCTCCGGCTTCAGGTCGCGGTAGATGATGCCCAGCATGTGCATGTACTCCAGCGCCACCACCACCTCGGCCGCGTAGAACCTGCAAATGAATAAAAATTCTCATATTGCCTGTTTAAGCTCTATTTTTTTTAATAAAGAATAAATATAATTTGCAAATTCTATTATAACTTAATAATTTAAATTTTAGTAACTTAACAAATGCAATTTTAATAAATAACCGTTAACAGCCAAATAATTTATCTTACTAAGGTGAACAGCTTTATTACTTCTTAAAACAGATTTTTGGTACAAAAAAATTAATTTATGCACTAAAAAGTTGCTTAAAAAAATCGTAAGAAAGTAGTCCAAACGAAGCCTAAAATGTCTTTTTTTTTTATAAAAATTTAAAATTTTTTACTAGAAAGCGATTTTATAAAGCAGTAAAAAAGCCGTCCCAAACAAAAACTAAGTTAGGCATCGATTGGAACGGCTTTCTTAATTCTTCTTAAAGCAGATTTCTAATTAAAAAAATTAAATTTTTACTAAACTAAGCATTACTCTCTGGACTATTGAACAAAGGTTTCTTCCATCTAAGCTATATATTAAAGTCCATATGTAAAAAATTAATATTTGCATTATAATAATTAATTACTATTATTAACAAGAATATCTACAGTAATGAGTAATTATTATATCTAATGGTATGAAAGGGTTTAGAATATAAAATTGCATAATTGCACTTATAAATAAATAATTACTAAGCAAAATCGGCAGGTTCGAATCAAACAAAAAAATAAAATATGTAAATCATTATAAATATGCAATTCTTTGTAGTAATTTCTTAAAACTTGGAACACTAAAATGAAGTATGGCTACTTCACTATGTCCAAAAATGCAATTTTTAAAATTTATATATATGAAAATGACAAATATGACCTATGCTCCTAAGCTACAATAGGAATCTATTAAAAATAAATTCCAGCATTTATTAGCTAGCAGGTCTTCTGTTTCAATTATGTAGTTCTTTAATTTATTTAAGGCTGAATTAAACACAAATATTAATGGCAGCAAATTTTTACGAAAATAATAAAAACTTTCATTTTTTACTTTTAAAAATAATTTTCTGATTTTTTACGAAAAATTAAAATAATTTCTGATTATTTAAAAGATTTATTTTAATTCTTTGTTTTATTAAATAAAGATCTAATCTAATAATTCATATTAATTATAAAAAAAATTATAAGTCTCTGACATATTTTAATTCTTTGATTTTTTTAATAGGGATAAAAATGATGCTATGAAAAGATTAATTTGATTCTTATTTACATAATAAAAAAATAAGAGGTTAATTCCATCCTTTTCCCGATTTTTAAAATTAAATAAAATGGATGGAATCAAATCAGCAATGGGTTGACTAAATTATTCGATTTGTTTCGCTGTTTGATTCAGTTCTGCAATTGGTTGGAGAAAATATTTGACTAACTAATCATGAGCTGCAATTAAGAAAAAAAGAATAAAGAACTGCAAATCAATGAGGGATCAGCGTTTGATCAGCAAGGAATTAAAAATTTGAAACAACTAGAAAGATTATGGTAAGATTCCGTCACCTGACGGCGTGCTCGTCGAACCGCTTGCCGGGCTGGCGCTGCCGTAGAACATGGAGATCGCCGCCAGGGCAGAATTCCGTGAGAAGAGAAGTCACCCTGTCGTTCTCTGCGCATCCATATAGCTTCGGGAGGAAGGGATGATCGAGCATCTCCAGGATCTCCTTCTCCGTCTTGGCCCGCGCGCTCTTATTCCTCCCAATCAGCTCCTTCTTATCCATCACCTTTGCCGCCAAAACTACTCCGCCATTACCCTTCACCTCGGCCAAATACACGCTGCCGATGTCCCCGCTCCCTAGCCGCTGGATGAAGCGTAGGTCGGAGATCGCGATCGAACCGTCGGGATTGGCGATCCTGCGGATCGCTTCGAGACAGGGATCAGCGCCGGAAGCGATGATCGGCGACGGCGACGGCTTTAGAGATTCGCAGGTGGAGGAGGACGAGGAAGATGAACCTGAAGTAGTGGAGACGGTCTGAGAGCCGAAGCTAAGGCTCTGTAGATCGTCGGCGAGGTCTATCGGCATGGCCGGCGGGAGGAGCGGGGAGTCGGAGGAGGGGGATTGGTGGTTTTTTGAAGGGGGTTTGGGTGACGCGGACAAGCCATGTGCGGGGGAAGGAGGAGGCATTGCGGGGCCCAAAGAAGGCAGGATTCCTCCTCGGGTTTGGAATTTGCCGGGGCGGGCTGAGGAGGGAAGTTATTTATGGGCGTGGACGCGCGATCGGACGGTTGTGGTTGGGCCGTTTTGGTCGGTTTTTGGGTCGGAAGTTTTGGTCGGGACGGCGTTGATGACAGTGTGGTGAGGAACAGTGGGTGATGGGACCCACATCTGGTCGAGCAATGGGTGCGTGTGGTACAAGACGTGGAGCAAAGGGACGAATGCATTTAAGTGCCGCTCAATGAGTTGATTGCTTTGTCCTACGGACCATCTTCACTTATCCACATATATAATATTAATAATAATAATATTTTTCTATAAAAAATATGAACAATTTTTTTTAAGAAAATTTACATATATATCATTCTATAACATCCTATTTATATATTTAATACCTAAAACTTTAATATTACATACATACCACACAATATTATTTTAATATCAAATATATTTGTTTCCTGCCAGTCATATATTTCATTTCTACCACTCATATTTGATATGAAAATGAACTATGGGCAGTATGTATGTAATATTAAAGTTTAAAGTGTTAAACATGCAAATGGAGTAGTATAAGATGGTATGTACGTAAATTTTATTATTTTTGAATATTTATAATATATATAAATTTTTTATAATAATCAATTATGTATTTTATTAAAAAAATTATAGATTTTGAGGATCATTGTTTAAAAATTTATTTGGATAATTTATGAAATGGAAAGTGAGTGGAAACTAAAATATATATGTAATTAGTGTAGATTAATTTGGGGGTTGTATGATTATGTAATTAAAAATAAGGGTATTTTGAATATAGTGTAAATTGAATGTATTGTATTTTCAATTTTTTAAGATGTTTGATTTATTGTAAGATAAAGTCCATGAATCTTTTTTTTTTTTAAATATTTGGGTGGGAGTAAGATAAAATCTTAGAGATAAGCATAGAAGCAAGCAAATGCGACGACAAGCAATGTGTGTGATATGGTGATAACAACAGTGCGAACAATAAGCATTATGCAAGATCACTCAATAATGAAAGTTGTTTGGGAGTCTTATGAACATAATGGTGATGTCGATGGTTCAACAAAGATTCTATGGGATATTGGGATCATAGCCAAGATTTGATGGCGACAACGCTTCACTCGATCGCCTTAACACAAAATTTGGGATGGCAAAAATCAGAGTCGATGTGAGTTAGGGTCATGACTATAACTTGGGAACCGTATCTCCACGCATATTGCAAAGGTTTCAACTTTCAATGTATTTGATTTAAGCAAATTTGTAATGCACTGAAAAATAACTATGTTTTTTTATTCGAAATCTCTCAAAAAAATTATTTTTAGTAGTTTTTCACTTTCACAAAAGATTGTTCATGTTAATATCTTGGGCATGATTGTAATAGATAGTCCCTTTGTCATCTACAAAAGCATCAAATTTTTTTTTCAAAGACTTGTAACAGAAAAAATATCTACTAAAGCGTCAATACTAAAAGAAGCAAGTTATATTTAGGGTGTAACTTCAATTACAACATCGAAGGGTAACAACTTTGGCATTATTGTAGATAAAAAGCTCTTTCGTTCTTTCATCCATTCCTTCATCAATTCTACGATAAGCAAACGAGAATTGGGACCAACCTTAGTTCACATGAAAATCTATTAATAATGAATCTAGCTTTTAACTCACATGAAAATCTATTAATAATATAGTCGACTAAAGCTGTAATTAAATATAGCACCCACAAGGTGATATGTTTTAAGCCTTGCTATAACTATTAATGCCAAAAAAAGTCTCTCTCTCTCTCTAAGCGTGTAGAGAGAGAAGCTCTGCTAGGATTTTGAGTTGCTCGCATTTTTGTGGTTCCCCGAGCTTTTGCCAGAGGGATCCTATGGATCCCTCCCTTTACAACTTTGCTTTTCCTCCCCTCACAAACAACCCACCTTCCCCTACTCACATTCATAGCTCTTCTAAACCCCTCTCTTGGGATCGTATCCTTATGTGCTCCCCCAATCCCACAAACTTTCCCATTTCCACCCTTCAAACGCCTGATGAAACTATCCCCTTCCTTCAAGAAGATATAGCGGAAGCTACCGATAAATGGAGTTTGGCCCGGGTCGGATATTCTCTTGGTAAACGCCCCTTTCTATGAAGCCTTGCTAAAAGCGGTTCAGAAGACTTGGAATCTCAAAGGTACGTTGAAGCTAATCTCACTCAGTTAAGGGTTTTACCTCCAACAAAAGATTCAGTCAGTATCCTTGCTGAATCCCCGGATTCCGAAGCTTTTACTAGTGTAGAAACTAAAGAAAATCTTGACCCCAATCCTAATCCTCATTGTGAGCTACCTAACTACACCTCCACTCAACCTGATAACTCCACCTCCCCCAATTCTCCTGCATCCGAACAGATAAATCCTACCACTAATGCCTAAAAATATAAGGAAGGAGTGATACCTATTCATCAACACATCTTGTAGATATTAAAAATCACTTATGCATAAGTGATTACATAAGCATAATAAATAAGGTAAACTAATTCATCCTTCATTACAATATTAATGAGTTTATTAAATGCCCATCAATGTTTTCAGCGTCAAGATTTTTATTTTTAGTGTCTTGTCTTGAATGACTTATTTATTAGATGATCCACTTGTGAAGTTTATCACTATATTTTTTGGAAATCGAGAAGGAGATCTCCCTTCTAAATGAAGCATCGATCAAACATCTAAGAATTGTATTGAATGTTTCAATTATTTAGGGTTTCTTTGAATGCGAGCATCTCTTACTGGAAAGATATGTGGCCTTGTTCCTTGAAGAGTCCTTGATGAAATTCTTTAATTGGAATACTTTAGTGAGTAAAAGATTTCAGATATAAGAGTTTTAACAATTTTAATGTTTGATTGGATGAATATATATATATATATATAATAAAGTAAATATAGTGTAAAATTTTCTAATTCCTTCTAATTTTGAGCTAGAATGCTTTACACCGCAAGCAAATTCGCTTGACCATCGACAGACACCACCATCGATCACCTCCTCCCACCTCAGTCCAACACTACCGGTGACCATCACCATCGCCGCCACCAATAGATCATCACCCTTCAACCACCACCAACAACTATCATTATCGTCACCCGCCTCCGGCCGCCACACTCCATCACCACCACAGGTCGTCATAGTTGCTATCATCCATTGATGTCGCCATCAACAATCATTAGCTATCATTTTTAAACTTTACACTAAATTCATTTTACTTCAAATCAAATTAAAAAAATTCATTCATCTGAATTTATTTTACACTCATTCAAACAACGTAACAGAGGAAAAACATTAAAAAGTCTACTAGTACATAATTCATAAAATGCACTGCCGGCCTAAAATAAAACATTGCTAATGATTTAATAATGCAGAAATCTTAAAAATCAAAGAGAATCCTCCATTTGGAAGCCGATATTCCAAAGACTTCCCAATGAATGCAACCCTTTCAAAATATGATTAGTGTGGCCAAAAGAACAAAAAACACATATGTAAAAAAATTATATTCTAATTTAAATATATGAAATATTGTCTTTTTTTTCCATGTGATAAACATCACTTCGTTCTTAACGACACTAAAAGCAGAAATTAAAAATATATAATCAGGCTAAGTAAATAGATACCAAGATTGATCTGTTTAGCCAAACACAGGTTCTGCTCAGAAATTACTGATCTGGACATTAACTTCTGATCCAAATAATGGTAATTAATTATGGCCATTTTTTTAAAACGAGCAGATATTAAGTTAGATTTAGGAAAAGCAGCACGAATGAAAAATAATTTAGAAAGGAGCGGATACGCCGGAAGAGAAAGCGCATTCTAGAATGCGTTCTACATCCTGGCGCATTTAAGAATGCGCCATGTGCTTTGGCGCATTGCCTAAATGCATCATAATATATCACGTATTCTGCATGTAATGTTTTTGAAGTAATGGCGTGGAATCTGAAGGATATAAAGGAGAATTTGATTGTTTCTTACAGTGAACAGGAGTGGAATCTGCCATTAAAGTAAACATAAATGCTACAGTTAGGAAAATGACATTTGTCCATTCCGTTGTAAATGTTTCATTCACTCATATATATTTATACATGATATAATAATTTAAAATGATTTATCTTATGTTCCATTGTTGTTGTTCCATCCTATAGATGTTTCTTGTATGTAAAAATTTAAGTAAAAGTAAATAATGTGAGTATATGAAAAATAAATATCATTAAATGAAAAACAATATTGATACGTCCTTAAAAAATTATTTTGATCGGGGACGAATCTTGATGCAAAATCAAGTTGAAAACTTCTGAAATTAATTTGGAGACCATCTCAACTCCGATTTCAGCAAACTTATAGTCGAACTGAGCATCTCGAAAATACGAACCCAACGCCACCAAATTCAACCCAATCCAAGCCCAAATGGGTCCAAATCAAGGACCCGACCTGTTGTTGGAAGATTCAAACCACAATTTGGATTACCAAACGGTTTCCAAACACAACAAGCTTATAGTCGAATCGAGTAGCTCGACGATACAAATCCAACGAGCCAAAGATCGCTAAATTCCGATGCCAATAAGACATTCAAATGTCCATCAAACGGTCCTTGATCAAGGGATTCAGCACCTTTTTTAAAATATTTTAAAACAATTTTTTTAAAATGTTTTAAAAAAAAATTTTCATATTTTTTAATTATCCAAAAATATAAAATTTTTAAAACAAAAATAAATGTTTTAATTATTAATAATAAAACTTTATTTCTTCAATATTTCAAACTAATTATTTGTAATTCTCTTAAACAATTAAATAACTAGGTAAAATAATAATATTTTATTTATCAATTGATATATTTAAAAAAATTTATCATTATACATAATTAAAGAATGATCATATATAATATACATAATTAAATTGTAATATATTTATGTATTAAAATTAAATACTTTAGTAATGTATTTGAAAACTATTAAATTAAATACATTAGTAACAAAAATCAAAGGAAGGCCGCCTTTTTATGTGACCAAACCATCTAAGGCGACTCTCTCTAATCTTATCTTCTACTTGAGCTACTCCAACCTTTTCACGTATATGCTCATTTCGTATCCTATCTCTAAGGGTAAAGCCACACATCCATCTAAGCATCCTCATCTCTGCCACACTTAACTTAGTATTATGCTTCTCTTTTAATGGCCAACATTCGGCACCATAAAGCATTGCAGGCCTCACTACCATCTTATAGAATTTTCCCTTAAGTTTGAGGGGTACATTTCTATCACATAACAAGCCCGATGCATTCCGCCACTTCAACCATCCAACTTGAATTCTGCTGATAATATCCCCATCTATTTCACCATCACTCTGAACAATAGATCCAAGATACCTAAAACG